TATATATATATATATAATTTAAGTAGATAATGCATGACATTGTTTTGAAATTAGAATCACGCCCAAAAAATAGAGCACAGACAAAAAGAAAGAAAAATAACATGTTGAGGAATGAGAATGGAAATAGATGTGGGGAAAAGAAATTAGAGAAAAATGTAATGATATTGATGTTTTTTCCAACTTGAAAAAAAGGATCCAAAAAACTCCTCTATTACATTTAATTCCTTGTATTTATAGTGGTTAGACCTTCATGATAAAATGTATTTGGGCCTATCCCGCCCAAATTCTGAGGTGTGGCCTCCTCAGATCCCGGTCACCCCTGGCTGCCATGGTTTGTAATTTTGAGAAGAGTCAACCTTAAGATAAATTTTTGTGAAGAGGAGTCACATGGCTAACTTCCAGCGTTCGATCTCGAGTGTTAAGCCGCTTGCTCATCCTTGAATATTCGCCCCCAACTACTCGACCATCTGCACCTGTCTTTGGTCAGTTCACTTTGGTCACTCGGCCTTTTGGTCGTTCGACTACGGGCGATTCATTTTTAAACATGTGGTTATGTCCGGCGACCCTATTTACTTTCCACCCAAACAAAATGGTCCTCTCCGAACAATGTGTTCCGATCAGTCAGATATTCTGATGATTTAGATCGTTCAATGTGTGATGACCTGAACAATCACTTTTTCTCTATAGATATTTAGTTTTCCAATTCTCTTGCATCATAAAAAGCCATGTTGTAATAAGTCGAGAGAATTAAATTCTAATAATCAGTTTTGCATTAGAAATAAATGTTGACGATATAACTAACCACGAACAAGGATTATGGGCCTTAGGTTCTTATAAATAAAGTGATAAGGCATCCCTGAATTCCATTTGATTGAGCTCTCAGCCTTCTCTTTCTAAATTTGATCATGTTTGATGCATGCTAGAAATTTCGTAACAGTCGAGTAATAGATTATCGTCTTAGCATTGCACAAGAATTCAACACACAAATAAAAGAAGAGAAGACACCTCGACTTTTTACGTGGAAAACCATTGGGAGGGGGAAAACCACGGGGCCTAGCCCAGTTGAATTAATTTACTATGAATGATGAGTACTCATGTCCAATCTTTCACTAAATTAAGGAAGATGGAATTACAAACCGGTATAATCTGATTGCCGCAGGTTGCAAGAGTTATTGTTGATTATTGTCATGTCCAATCTTTCACTAAATTAGGGAAGATGGAATTACAAACCGGTATAATCTGACTGTCGCAGGTTGCAAGGATTATTGTTGATTATTGTGGTGGTAGTAGTTCATGCGTGAGTGTTGTAGATAGTTGCTCTAGAAGCATTGATTGGTCAGATAAACCGTAGTAAGAAGTTGCGGGAACGGTGAACCACATGGGTCGTAGTGGCGAGTATAAATGACGTCCGTAGGCCGCGGGGGCCGGAATCAAGAGCTGGACTAGCTGTGAACCATGTAGAGCATTGGGGAGAGTATGAATGACGTCCGTAGACCGCGGGGCGGGAGTCGGGAGCTGCATAAGCTGATAACTACGTAGGTCGTTATTGACACATGGACTGTAGTGAGAGCTCTTATCCCACAGACGAGAAAGGGTAATTAGATTTTTCAAGTTATAACATTGACTGACAACGTCCGATTTGTGATAGTCGATGACGATTGACAATGATGGACGACCATTGACGGCGGTCGACAATGGCTAACGACAGTTGGCGGTGGTTGACATCAACTGGTGGCGATGCTAAGCTGCAACTCCTCCTCAAAGCCCCAAACTCTCTTTAAGCTTCAGTCCTCCCTCATGAGAGGGGTGGGGCTCTATTTATAGTTTTATGAGTGCAATTAATGCAAGAATATGAACCATTTTGATCGGACGGTCCAGAGAGCTTTCCTTAAACATACAATGTTTAATGGACATTTAGATGCCTTAATGATGTCAGAATTGAGTGATCTTAGGCTCATTGGATTCGTCTTGTTGAGACGCTCGATTTGAGTATAAACTTATCTGCTTCGACATTCGTTTGATCTTTCAAATATGTCCGGAGATCATCCAAAAGTAGTTTAATGACTTTATCTGAGCTTGATTTGACTCGGATTGGACTAACTTTGATATCATTATGTCTGTCTCATCGACCCGGTCAGTTTGACCATAATTTGTTGAAATCAGAGCTTTGGATGACTCTTAATTGAAGTTTGAATGTTTATTGTTCAAAAAATTGCATGTAGATTTGCTTAGATGATGAAAATTTGTTTGTGCCGTATTTGATACTCTATGGAAGGTCTCACTCGATCACATACCCATCTTCGACCAAGGTTCTCCTTCGTAGTCTGGAAGCGGGAAAAAGCGCGAACCCGTGGGAAAACGCAGAAGAATCGATCCATCGCTCAGTCAGAAAGGATCTTCTAGGTTGACTCCAGGGAACATTGTTGGTACGCTTCTCCAACCTGATGCCCAGACGGTCGGGCGAGGACCTGCCGATGCCTACTACGGAATCTATTCCTTATACTTTGAAACTTGTGACACAATTTCTCCTCCAAGCTACAACGGGGATGGCTCGGCTCCCTTGAATTTGTATGAAGTCCTCAAGTGCGAGCCTATGAGCCGAGGAGCGAGCAATTGAAGGGGTCGTTTGTCCTGAGCACAATGGGGAACATGGAGGATGAACGGCTCGGAGACGGAGAGGAACCCTAAATGGTGGATGAGGAGAATGCAGGGAGGGAACTCGGGGCGAGCCTAAGAGCAAATTAATTTTTTTAAAAGATATTTTGAATATATTTAGAAATTATCATGTAAAAAAAAAAGATAATTTTAAATTCAAATCAAAACATAAATAAAAGAATATATGTATATTAAATATATTATAGAAATAATCATGTAAATATATTATATATAAAAAAGATAATTTTATATTATGGTCGCACGATTAATGACATATAATGTGCAATGAAGTGTTGTTGTGGTTAATATGTATATTAAAGAATTTAATTATAGGGTATTTAATAATCAAAATTTGTACACCCAAAAAAAGTCTATACGAATTTCTAGAAAATCTAACTGATCATAACTAATCAGACACAATATGATAGGTGACGAAAATGTATAAAAAATCGGTTATGAATATAAATATACACCAAACTTGTAACTTTCCTATTAAAACAGCGAACATAAAAATATAATAATAATATGTAACTCCCACAATAAAATAAGAGCAAGCATGTAATTTTAGACTTGGTTCATATATCTTCCATAAATAGGGAAATCATGTCATGTATAAAAAAAAAAGGGAGGAGAGGAGCTTTTAGATCTCTCTCTCTCTCAACTTCTTTCAAGTACGAAGAACTCTCTCATCTTTTCAATGTAATCATTATTTTCAATATATAAAAAGGGGCCAAAGAGCCCACAAATACCCTGTTTTGACCCTTACGGTGAAGCCCCTCGTATTCTCTTTATCACTTTTTCTACCTCAAGGCCCCTACCGCTCAGATCCTTGGTCGTGCTTCACAGAACAAGTTTGGATTCAACAAAATTTATTAATATAACTTAGCTTTATATCATTATGGCTGTGAATTTAGCTCGAAGATCGTTAACCGCTCGAAAATCGATTCAACTTATAGCTCGTATAGAATTAAATGAGCTGAGATAGGATTCAAAACTTTGGATCACATTTTTTCGAGTCATACATAAATCAACTCGAACTTGTTCGAGATCAGCTTGAATTATTTTTTATTTATAAAAAATTATATATAATGTTAAATAAAACCACATTTAGCGAGCTACGAGCATATTTCAAGAACAAAA